ATGCTGGCGATCGAACCCAAGGCCTCTTGCTTGCTAAGGAAATGCTCTATCACCAAGCACACCCTAGTCCCCAGAATAGAGCCTTGAGGTTATTTATTTGGTACTGGGGATTGAACTTGGCCACATTCACACCCCCAGCCTTTTTATTTTTTATTTTGAGACAGGGTCTCACTAAATTGCCCCAAACTTGTGATGCTCCTGCACCAGCCTTCTGAGTAGCTGGGATTACAGGCATACACCAAGCACCTAGCCCCACAATAACATTTTTAAAGAAAGTTATCTTTAGGAGTTTAGGGTAAAAAGACTTGTTAACAGAAAAAAGGCTGGCAAATTGAATTACCTTAAAATTAAGAACTTCTCTTCTTCTAAAGGACTCCATTAAACATGAAAAGATAAGTTAAGAGTGGAAGAGGCTATCTGTAGCACATAGACCTGACAAAGGGCGTCTACCCAGAGCGTACAAGGAACTCCTGCAAATCAATAAGGACAGGACATACAGCTCTACAGAGACTTAAATGGTTACTTCACAAGCAAACAAAATCCAGTAATATATGAAAAGGTGTTTGATCTCACCACGAGACATTACTACATACCAGAATGACTAAAATCAGCAAGATGCACAAACAAGTGCCAGAGTGTGGTGCACAGGTCACTCCCCACCTATTGTCGGGAACGCAGCAGGTAAAGCTGTTTGGCAGGATCTACTACAGCTAACATCGTTCTGGCCTAGAAATCCCGCCCCCAAGGATGGAGTCAATAAAGGAGTGCATACATGTCAAGAGATCAGTGTAAGAATGCTTGCTTCCCTCGGCTTTATTCATAGGACCAGCAACACAAACGTCCACAAACAGCATGGGAAAACTGCAGTCTCTCCACTCACGGATCACTAAGAAGCAATGAAAACGTGGCCGAGCATGCAATCACCAGGGTGCATCTCAGAAATGGTGTAGAGGGAAAAAGAAAACACTACTACAAGACACAGGAGAATACATATCTGTGTAATGTAATCCATGTAAACTCCAACAGGACAAACTACACCCATCGGGATACCAATCAGTACAATGCGGTTTAGCCAGGACACCAACAGGGACTCGGGGCAGCTGCCTGTATTCTGTTGTGGCCCCACAAGGGTTTGTTTTGTGACAGATCACTGGACTGTACATTTTTCTCTCTGAGCACTTTTCTGATTATGCTACTATTTCATGATACAAAATGAAACAGAAGTTTATAAAATTAAAATCAGAAGTTTAAATACCAATAACTTCTTAGTGTTAGTGAGGGTAGAGAAAACAGTGTCCTCAAGTTGCAAGAACGAACCAAATTAATAAAAATCTTTTTGGTGGGATATTGTGTTATAGTCTATCAAAATAACGCAACAACTTTAGTTCTAGAATCTGACAAATGTTTATGTGCATAAGGGTGAAAGTACAACATAAATACTGACACTAACAGTAACAAATTAAAAACATGTAACGATGGCATAACTGCACAAGAGAAGAGGCAGGGGTCTGGAGGACTTCAGGAGCCCTTCTACAAAACGAGAGACCCTGCTAAGGCTTCTTTTCCCATAGTGCTGGCTTGCAGAGGTAAGAGAAATCCCCAGTTCAACCTCTCTTCTCACTGATGAGATTTTAAAGTCTTATGCTAAGTGAACAAAGTCAGACACAAAGGACCAGCTATTAAATATCCCATTCATACGTATTTTCTGGAATAGACAAATCTCTTACAGAGGACAGAAGGTAGTGTGGTAGTAGCTTAGTGCTAAAAGGAGTGGGCAGACAATGGGATGATATCCAAAGCCATAGGATTTTTATTAAAGTGAGGCACGTCTTCTAAAATTAACTGTGGTGAGGGCTGCACATGTGTGAAAACAGTAAAATCACTGCATTGTGGACTTAAAGTGGGTATGTTGAATGGCATATAAATTATATCTTAATAAAGTTGTTATAGGAAAAAGTAGAAAGGTCTAAAAAGGTCAGGCAGTGATGATACTGGTCAAACCATATGGATAAATCTAGACAAATATCTGTATAAAATAATACTCTAAATTGGGACTTTAAAAAAATAACAATGGCTGGAGGTACAGCTCAGTTCATCCCCAACACCCAAAAGAAAAAAAGGGGAAAAAAACTGTTTTGGGGGGTTTTGTTTTTTATACAAAATACCAGATAATAACTGCACACATGTTAGGAGAGCTGAATGAATTGACGTCTCCCAAGTTCCACACTGATGTGGGGGAAGGGGTGGTAAATAATCGATCAAGCTTAGATGCGGACATTCACAGGACAGAAACCGAAGGGATAACTTCTAAACCAGTAGAGCAAAAAAAGGAATTAAAAAAAAAAAAGCAACAGTGCAGCACTCTAGGGGGAGAGGCCTCAAATAGCACCTACCACCTATTCCTATGAATACAGTTCTTCTGGGACACAGAGTGCTCATTTGTGTCCCATCAGTGGCTACTTATCAGCTACAGTGGCAAAGCTGAGCAGCTGTAAACAGAGACATGAAAGCCTGAATCATCTGTGGCTGATCCCTGCTCCAGATACTACGTGACAGCCAGAGATACCAAGGACTGCAGTGTCCTGAGCAATGGAATTATTATTCCTTCTCCAGAAGCATAAGGTTCAATTAGATAAATAACAGGAAAAAAAAAAAAAAAAAAAAAACTTCTGTGGAATGTTCTCGATCCACTCCCCAGCTTCAGCATCATAACTACCCTCTCCAGACTCAGCTGCCAACACCTTAGTCCTTAAAAAAAAAAACAAGAGGAAACCCTCTCATGCCAAAACTGGAAGACGACAAGCCACACTTCCCAGATTTTCCCAATTGTAGCATCTTGCAAAAACTATAGTCCAATATCATGGCAAGAAGCATGACCTTGATTAAATCCATGACCTCACTCAGGTCTCCCAGGCTGCATATACATATGTGTTTTATCATGTGTAGGTTTGTGCAGCTACCACCACAGTCAAGGTACAAAATAGTCCCATCACCAAAGGGATCTTGAGGTTTGACCTTTTATAATCATATCCTCTCTAACTCCCAGCAACCACTAATCTGTCATTTCAAGGATGTTACACATGTGGAATCCTGCAGTGTGCAGCCTTGGGGAATTCACTCTTATCACTCAGCAAAGCTCCCTGGCCATCCATCCAGCTGCTATGCAGATGAATAGACTGTTCCTCTTTCCTGCTGAGAAGTTCCAGGGATGATTGCATCACAGCCTGTGCACCCAGGATGTTTCCAGTTCTTAGCTATTACAAATGAAACTGCTGAGAACATCCCTGTACAGTTTTGGGGTGAGCATAAGACCTCATCTCTCTGGACAATGGCCCAGGAGTGCAGGTACTGGGCTGCATGAGGGCTGCAGATTTGGTACCGCTGATCATTTTCCAGAGAGGTGGTGCCATCCTCCAGCCCCTCCAGCACTGCATCCAAGACCCAGTTTCTCTGCACCAGCATTTAGTGTGTCCCGATGGACAGATTTCAGCCAGATTAGGACAGCTGAGGGATGACTTGCTTTAGTCTCTGACAACAAGACTACATCTGAAGTTGAAAAATTAAAATAAAACTTCAGGTAATACATGTATATAGTTGCTAGGAGATTGGAAATTAGAAATATAAAAGAAAGTTCTGTGTCTTCTATTAGAAGAAAAAAAGGAAAGGCAATGCTGTTGTTTTTTCTAGGCTGATGTACCCAAGCTGTCAATGCTGTATGGCAGCTTTATCCTAACCCTGAGGTTCTCCTCTGGGACCCTCCCCTACCCTTGCAGGAGCTCTGCCTCTGACTCAGCTCACTCCCCTGTGGCCCTGGTAGACATCCTCAGCTTCCTCCTCAGACATTCTACAGCTGTGGCCATAGGCAATGAAGGCATTAGGGCTCTGTCAAGGATGGGAGCCAAGACAATTCCAGGATGGGACAGATTAGGCCCTGGCCCATCACACACCAGCAGGAAGACAGCACCGCACTTCACACCCTGAACAGAGGAATTCGTCACCATTTGAGCAACCTAGTAAACCTATGACCCCTCTTAGAATAACAACTTTAAAGACAAAAAAAAAAAAAAAAAAAAAAGGATGACCTTATAAAATATTGAAATATTTTTTAAAGAAATGAATTCTAGAGGCTGGGGATGTGGCTCAAGTGGTAGCGCGCTCGCCTGGCATGCGTGTGGCCCGGGTTCGATCCTCAGCACCACATACAAAACAAAGACATTGTGTCTGCCAAAAACTAAAAAATAAATATTAAAAAATTCTCTCTCTCTCTCTCTAAAAAAAAAAAAAAAAAGAAATGAATTCTAAAGTACACCTCAGGAAGTGAAGAACATGACCATATCCTGAGATGTTGGACTGTGGAGAGGGAGGGAGGCCTGGCCTCTCCTAGTGGCTGAGACTCAAGTCCTGCCTACCCTATGAGGTCATGTCACTTTCAAAATGGATGGAAATGTTAAATTTCAGGTAGATATCAGTGAAAATAAAGATGCAATCTTCTTTCTACCTAAGTTCATGGAACCCTGAATTGCCAGAATTTCACAAAACCAGAGAGTACAATCAGGCCTCCTCTGAAAGAGCCTTTCCTGGGCTGCCTGTGGCCTGGGTAAAAAAAGCAGCCATGCACAGTCTTGGGTGTGGTGTGGGCCCTGCCCCTGGCCAGGCCTCAAGGAGAAGGATGGTTGGTGTTGAGTCCGTTCTAAAGCTGCCGTAAAGTGATTAAAAGTGGCCACCCTGGGCCATGGTCCCAACCAGGTGGCCCCTCAGGACAGTACTCACTAGACCCTTCCTTTCACCTGCATTGGCTGGGGCAGAAACTGAGCCAGGAGAAATATTCCTTGGACACTATATGCACCAGCATTTAGTGGTCACTGGCCTATCTAGGGGAATCTGTGGTCACTGTTTTTTCAGAGTTTTCTGCTGTTGCATCCAGGGGTAGGAGTGGGAAACCCCCAAGTCAGGGCTGAGAGCCTCAGGAGCACACAGTACCTCCAGACGGGCCCACTCACCTTCGTTAATGCAAAGGCCACTGTCCCATCATCCTCAGTGGACAGATCAAGCAGCTTCTGGTAAAAGGCTTCATCATAAGGCCCATCTATTTGTAACATTTTTCTGAAGAGAACAGCACCAAAAAAAAAAAAAAAAAAAAAAAAAACAGGATGACAAAGCTACCTGGAAATTATTTCTTAGATTGCTACAGCATGTAGCAGAATTTAACAGTCTCACAATTCATTTTATAGGGCACCCAACGGATCTACTTCTTCCTCATATTAAACCTGGTTCTGAAGCATCGAGGTCTGAAACAACCCAGCAAGACCAAGGCCCAAGGAGCCCTGAGGCTAGGCCCTCTCCAGTTACCCACAGAGGTTCCAAAGGCAGCTAAGGAGGCAGGAGGCAGACCCACCCCCATCTGACACTGCAGGGCCCCCAGTGCAGGCACAGGGACCCAGTTTCAGCTGACAAGAAAGCTTGGGGACTCAGGGGGGCAGCCGCAGCCAGTGCTCCACACAGCAGCCCATGGAACGATACTGCCCTCTACAGGCTTGGCCCTGACTCAGGATTTTGAATAGTTGGGTTCACAGATACGCTGTGCTTTCTTTTACTACAAAGAGGAGGTAAAACAAAAACCACTGATCTAATTCATAAAACCAGTAATCTCATGCCTGGGTTTCTCCTCACAAGGTACTACATTCCCAGCAGGGCTATGGCACTTGAGTGCAAGGGGAAATAGCCAGCAGGCATCGTCCTCCAGGAGTTAGGCACCAGGCAGCTTGTTCTATCCTTGAATTGGGGAGACCTTGATCCCTGGCCCACCAGAGCCTCCCCTCATGTCCAGCCTCACCTCTGCTCAGGAAACTCCTCCAGATACCGCTCAATCCGATTGTACAGAGGGTAGAGGCCCTCGATGTCCAGAAGGTCCAACATCTGCACCTGGAGGGTTTTGTACAGAAGACAGCCCTTCGGTAACCCCGAGCGCTCTGGGGTGTTTTTTCCTACCAAGAACATCAGGGGAAAACGAGAGCAGGTTTATTATCACACTGAAGACTGTGGGAGGGGGACACAGGTTGGTGCAGACTGCAGGGCCCACCCTGGGCTCAATTGTGGAGCACCATTGCAGGTGAGGACTGGGCCCTGGCCTGGCGCTGAGGGCAGACGCCATGACCACCTCAGAGCCATGGGGTCAGAACACGCTAGGACTGTGCTGGCCACACCAAGCCATGCATAAAGGAAAGGACAGGAACCTAGCATCTCACTCTGTGCCTGTGCTCTCCAAACACACTCTCCTCCTCAGAGCATCCACTGAACCCCACACTCACCCCAGAAATCCCTTATGATAGGCCCAACTGCAAAAGATCATGTTGACATTCCCAAATCTGAAAGACCACAAAAGACAACCGAGACCCCGTCTCCAGAGTTAAGAGCCATAAATTCATACTGAGAGGGTGAAGCTTGGCTGCCCTCAGAACAAGCTCAGAACTGGCCAGGCAGGGCCAGGGACAGTAGCCAAAGCCACTGACAAGGACATGATCTCAAAGGGACATTCAAGGAGACAAAACTCCACTCAACACTGTGTATGCTGACACCGCTGCCCAAGCCTGGGACACACCAAATCCCACCATCTCCCAGAAGGGACCAGCCACAGGTGAAAACAGGGCAGGCAACATCCATGTAGGGAAGAGCCGTGGCAGGCCTGCATCAGGCTGCCCATCAGGGTGCACTCGCCAGGCAGGACACGGGAGTAGCTGCTCACAGGGTCCCCCAGGAGGCGTGTTAAATGCCAGTGAATATCTACCACAACAGCAGGGTAATACAAGTTGAAAAAAATGCACTTGTTGATAGAGATTTATGTTAAATAAGAAAAAAAAAGTTGCAAAAGAACATGTGGAGGGAAATACTGAGCATCGAAGTTTATGCCTGTTTGCACACAAGTGTCCCCAGGTCTGGGAGAAACCCAGGCACCAGGGAGCCTCCTCTTAGAAGACCCCAGACCACCCCAGTGGCTGGCACACTTCCAGACACACTCTACAGCTGTGAGCCCAGAATTTTCACAAAATCTTCTAAAACAATAGGAATTGCTTTTATGACAAAAATATACCCAATTAAATTCATCTGTGGTAAGAAAAATTTGGAATGGGGGCAGCAAAGAAGGCAAAGCCAAGAGGGTTTCTGTTGGCATAGGAGCCACCTGCCACCTTCAACTCTTAGCAGGTCTCAGTGGTCTCCCACAAGACACGCAGCTCCATCTCACTAGACGTCCATCACAACAGGCCACAGAGGCCAGCCTGATTCAGCTTCTTCCAGTCTGAGGAAGAAAACCTGGACCCAGAAGCCAGTGAGCATGCATCTTCACCCACAGTTCTCAGGTCCAGCCCGGTAGGACTCCTGGCCTCAGTTCTCAAGGAAGAAATAGAGACCCCACCCACAGAGTTACAATGAAGATCAAAGGGATAATGGAGTCAAAAACATGCTGCAGGGGCTGGGGTTGTGGCTCAGTGATAGAGCACTTGGCTAGCATGCGTGAGGCACTGATTTCGATCCCCGACACCACACACACAAAAAAAATTCTGCAAATACAAATATATGGATGTATTCCTGGGAAAAACCCTACATCACAAATATGTCCTGCAAAGTTTATTTACTTATTTTTTTAGTTATAGGTGGACACAATATCTTTATTTTATTTTAAATATTTATTTTTTAGTTGTAGTTGGACATGATACCTTTATATGTGTTGCTAAGGATCAAACCCAGGGCCCCACATGTGCCAGGCAAGCTCTCTACCACTGAGCTACAGCCCCAGCCCCTTTTTTATTTTACTTTTACATGGTGCTGCAGATTGAACCCAGTGCCTCACGCATGCTAGGCGAGCACTCTACCTCCAAGCCACAACCCCAGTCCCATGTTCTGCAATTTTTACAAATCCAGCCACAAGATGAGAAAGGTAATGTCCACTGGGCGTGAGCAACAGGGCCACCCTGGGGAGCCCTGATCAAAGGGACTACTCCCCCAAGATGCTTTGTGATGCCTCACAGGGCCACTGACTTGGCTTTGTCGGCTCCACCACAGCTGCCCACTGGGAATGGACAATCCTAAAACCCCCGTGGACACCCACCACCCACCTAGGGAAGGCCAGCTCCTACCTTGGCGCTGCAGGCTCCTGCTGAAAGGGCTGGCCTCACAGACACGCGGGCCCCGGAGCCCAGGCCTCAGTGCACCGACCCGCCCCTTGTCCGAGCTGCTCAGCAGCACCCGAGTGATGACATGTACCAGCTCCCGGATCACAGCTCGCGTGCAGTGGGGCCCACTGGCCAGGCCATTGGAAGGGAAGAAGAAAGGCTTCAGGTGATGTGCGAGCTCCCTCCAGTCAGCCACAGGGCTCCGGGCATCGCCACAGCCATAAATCAGCTCACCATTCTTCAGGCAGGAAAAAGAGAGAGGGAGACATGGATCCCACAAGCTAGTAAAAACCTCGGCTCCTGCAGGGGCAAGGTCAGGCACAAGCAGAAGGCCCCAATATTTTGGATGGGCCCCCTGGGGTTGCTGCACACTCTGGCCTCTCTGGGAAACCTGCCCTCATGTGCTGTGTCATCAACCAAGAGGTGAATCCCACTGAACCTGAAAAGGAAGAGAAGTTCAAAAACTGAAAACCAGCACCCTAGCCTACCAGACGACCTCCCCGAGCATGTAGAAGCCACGAGCAGACAGCGCGAGGCATCAACTTCCCAAAGGCAACAGCCCATTACTCAGGGGCCCGAGCAGAGGCTGAGGCGTTGAAAGAGTTGACCCCAGGCAACCCTGGGGCTGGAATTCCAGAGTTGCCGAAGCAAGACCCTAGGTGAGACCTGCACCCTGAGAGTCCTGCCTTCCCACAGTCCAACAAAGAAGCTTCTTTGGCAACACTGTTCGGAGCTGCTTGATCTGGCCACTGAGGATGATGGGACAGTGGCCTTTGCATTAACGAAGGTGAGTGGGCCCGTCTGGAGGTACTGTGTGCTCCTGAGGCTCTCAGCCCTGACTTGGGGGTTTCCCACTCCTATTCCTGGATGCAACAGTAGAAAACTCTGAAAAAACAGTGACCACAGATTCCCCTAGATAGGCCAGTGACCTGACACAGGGGCTTTCACAGGACATATGATGTGTCTGGGGAAGGCCTGAGCCACAGCTGACCCCAGGAGCAGGAAGAGGCCCTCTGAACCTTATGCTTCATCTGTGTAAGTATGGTGGGCACTCCTGCTCCTGGAGTCCTCTCCTCATGGGGTCTGCTCAGTATATCCAACATGATACCGAGGCAACAGCACCACCCACAGGGCCACATTATAAAAGGTGATGTGACTTCCATCTCAGTCACTCATTCCTCACAAAACAGCAGCCACAGAGCAGTCCCAGGAGGAGCCCCATGCAGAAGGAACTAAGGTCATCAGCACCTACCAAGCTTTCAGATAAGACTCCCAGCCAGAACCAGCTACTACCTCAGGCACTGAGATCACAAGTAGCTCACAGAGGGCAATCCCCATCTAAGAGATGCGAGCAGGCGCTCCTCTTCCTGTATCCCAGGGCCCCTCTCTGGGAGCACCTGTTTGGTATCCACACCCACTTAACCACAGGGACACACTGGGCAGTAGGCAGGGGAAGGCAGACAAAAGTGGAATCATAGGTGGCCAGCTGACGTCAGGGCAGGGCCACTACTAGTGCCCACAGTGAAGCCAGTCACAGGTGGCTGAGCGACTTCTCACAGCAGGGCCTCTCCATCCAGCATTAGGATATCAGATGTGAAGGTCAATGGGAGCGGGGAATCCAGGTGGGCAGCTTTGTACACATGCAAATTCAGCTGCTCAAGGACCTCAGGTGGCATTTGGCAAAGCCAATGCCCTAGGCAGTCCAGATGGTGCCTCTCTGACAGTGTCCACACCCTGCAGGCCCCAACCAACGCCTCTCATCATTAGTATCCAGTGCAAGGTCACCAGCCAGGACCCAGGCTGCAGCTCCACACCTGGGACATCAGGGCCTTGGGCGTGTCCTCTCTTGCTGGGCAGGTCTAAAGAGCCTCAGGGCAATACAGGTCTAGGGTCAGAAACAGCTGCTCCAGAGAGCCGGCGGGGCTTGCCACCAATCACTTACTGTGCTGCTGTCCTATTATTTCAGAAAGTCACTCCATCTCACTTGTCTCTATCCATCTTTGTAAACTATTGCCTTATCATCTGGATTTTCTCCTGCCGAGTTTTATGAGGCAGTGACACCCTGAGTGAGGGCCTGATGGGGGTCAGAAACACCACCCTCACTAAGGGCTTTAAACAAACACCCCAAAGAAGGAAATTATCTTCAGGACTTAAATATCAAGTTCCTTGAGTCTTTGAGAAGAATTAAAAATAAAACCTGCCTTTGAAATAAGTCTTCTTTTCTGGATTAGGGAAGGTGGAGGCAGGGAATAAAGGTGATGATAAAGTCCCAGCAGGCAGGGCAGTGGGACTTCTGTGTTAGACAAGGGAAATGGGTCAAGATCAGGCTGTCCACCCAGTTCTCAAAGGCACAGGACACACAGCAGCAAGAGGAAGGGCTTCCAGCTCACTGGTGACCTCTCCTAGACGGAAGCCTGGGGGTCGGGAGGCCCACAATCAGCCCTGCCACATGCAGGTCCAGCACCTACAATGGCCGTCTTAGAGGTTCAGCTCCTACAGGTCAAGGCCATGGCAATGGAGACTCCAGGGACACTTTTCCAGCATAGGCACAGCCCCCACCTGCTGCCCAGGCCAGCCCTGCCCCCGACCTCACCCCCTCCCTCTCCATCCCAGCCCTCCTCCTCCTCACCCTGGGCAGCACTGCTCGCAACAGGCCAGACCACCAGCCCACTTGGCCACCAGGAACTGCAGGCAGCTGTGCTGAGTGGCGAATGTTCCCTTGTCCCTAGGCTGTCAGGGCTGGGATGGTCAGAACTACAAGGCTTAGGGAATCTGCTTTTCAACAAGGAGCTCCCCAAATTACAAGGTCCCTAAATTAACCAGGAATAAAGGCACACAAGAGGCAGACACTGTGAAGCTGGCAGTTGGCACTCAGCTTACCACAAGTGCCCTGGCAGTCACCAGGACCTGCGCAGTCGGTAGCCCCCGTTCTTGTTGCCTCCTCAGCCACATGGGCCACCCACAGAGGAGGATAGCTGGGACAGTGCCAGGTATGTCTTTGACCAGTGTGCGCCCTCTGGCATCTCAGAGGGGATGAAGACACATCCAGTATGGCTTCACTGTCACACACCCAGGGGACACAGACAACCCAGGGTCACCAGAATGCTATGCTTATGGACTGGGGCTAGAAAACAGGAAGTGCCTGGGGCTAGAAGATGTGTGTAGGTGGCAGGGGAGCGAGGACTCCAGGCACTCCAAGCAACGTCAGACTCTGAGGACCTGAGGCAGCCTAGCCCAGATGCTCCCATCTGTCATCACTGAACCTGTTCCCAGGAACAGAGTGCAGCGGATTCACCTCAAAACTACCCACAAATGGAAGCAGCTCTCACCTTAAATATCTTCAGGTTGTTCTGTGCCTCCTGCAGCAAGCTCTTCAAGGCAAAGTGCATCCTCTGCTTGTTTCTAAAAGGAGCAAATGTCGTCACGCTTTAAGGGCAGCAGGAATAATCCTGACCTCCATGTGCGCCAGCACCTGGCTCTCAGCTTAACTGGGAAACCCAGAGTCTGGGAAAGTCCAATGACATCCTCCCCCACCACAGCACTGAGCATACATGGGAAGAGGGGGCTTGACCCTGGCCCCAGGAGATTTGAGCAACCCCAGCTGAGACAGGGGAGCAGGAGGCCAGGGCCCCATCAGCGTGCGTGTCCCCCACTACTGCTCTCCCACTGCAGCTTCCAAAGGTTGGGGCATGCATTCAGGTAGCCACTTGACAGGTCATTGGGGAGCATGAAGAGAAGGGTAGAAGTCCTGGGACTCCGCATACTCTGACCTCCTGGGAGCTGAGGGCTGGGACTTACCCCACGCTCTGCCCCTCACTTATCCAAAGACCTCAGCCTACCGCCCCACCTCACCACCACTTAACCCCTGGGCCTCTTCTCCAGAGGTGCCCCAGGACTGTCCCTAACCACCCACCTGGGGTGGAGGCAGACCACCCCAGGCAAGGATGCTGAGCCCAGTCAAAAGGTCACCACTCACCCTGGGAGGGCAAGCCAGCAAGATCCAAGCCCCCCACCCGCAGTCAGTCGGCTCTAGAAAGGCTGCATTCTGAACATTCCGGGAAGGCTCCCAAGTTGAGTTTTGACAAGTTATAAATTCTCAACAAAGACCTTTATCAATAACTGCTTCAAAACTCAAGAGCCTTGGCTGGGGAGCACTTGCCTAGCAAGCGCAAGGCCCTGGGCTCTATCCCCAGCACCATTTAAAACAAAAACCACTTCTCAGCTTTTGGGTGTGGGGAGGATTCCCACATGAAAAATCAGCACATTCCCTGTGCTCTGGCACACTTAACACTTCATTTTGGACTTTTTAACTTTGAAAGTCTTTGTTCTGGAAGGTTTGCAGTACCACTCAACAAAAAGTACTGTGGCTGTGCCCACAGGCACTGTGTGTTGGGAACTGGCAGGGGACACAAGATGAGCACTGGCAGGCTGGGAGGCAAAGGAAGAACCAACACAGCCCTGCACCGACCAGGGTCCAAGGAGGGAAGACGACGTTGGAAAGGGCCTTGGCTTGTCAGAAAGGACAGCAGGGCTCACAATCACACTCTGCCCTGAGGTCAACTTACTCACGGGACCACCCAAAGTGGGGCAGGGCTGGGGTGCGCTGTTGTGAGACACAGGTACCATCCAGGCCCTACCTCAGCTCTCCCTATGCCAGCCTCCTCCTGCCACCCCTCCACCCTAGCGCCTGACTGCTCCCTTGCAGCCCCTGCTGTTGGATGGACCCACCCCAGCCGCCAGTCACCACCACCTTCCTGACCTTAAAGGGCCAAGACTGGGTCATGTGCTACATGCAAACTGATACACGATGGGTGCACAGCACAGCTGCAGGGCCAGAGTGCGCAGAGGAGGCCTGAGAGTCTGACCACTGGCTGGAGGCCGACTTGCCAGGGCAGAAGCTGCTGCTGCAGCCTCAGCCCTTTTAACATGTGTAGACAAGCAAGGGGCCAAATGTGTAGATGACCAGACTAGGAGGGTCTAAGGGTGGGGGTGACAACGTGGCATGAGTAGAAGACAAATCTGGTGGGAACCTGAATGAAGGAAAATCAGTAAATCCGTGACTACTTCAAATTGTGAGCAGAAGGACAAAGCCTAAAACCCAAGTCCCCAGGGTTTCTCAGACACTGAGGGCAAGGAAAGCCCTATAACAGTGGAGACCCCCCGTCCCACCTCACTCCATACACCCCCACTCCTGACAGAACACCCCCCACCATGAACATCTCTCAAAGCTCCCTAAGCACCCCCACCTCAGACTACCTCTCACTGTCAACACCTCACAGAATACACCTCGCACAATACCCCATCCTTCTCATCTCACAAACAGCCCCCCTCCATTCACACCTCACAGAATATTCCCACCATCCTCACACAAGACCCGCCAGCTGCTCCTACCTCACAGAATACTCACCACCATTGACACTAGAAGAACCCCCCTCAGTTCCCCTCACAAGATACCCCCACCAATACTCCGCAGAACCCACAGGACCCACCCCACAGGATATCCCCTAGTGGGTCACCAACCCCACCTCTGGAGGATAAAGGAGAAATGTCTCTTACCCCGAGTAGAGATCAAGGGGACAGTATTTACTTATCTGCTTCCACTTCCCAGTTGCTACCTGTTAAAACAACAATGAGGGGGTCAAATTACTGGGTGTTTGCGACTTCACAGAGCCACCTCCACACAGAGCAGCGTAAGTGAAATGCGACCATCAGGGGGGCTGTAGACTTCTCCCAGAAAAGGCTCCAGGTGCACGACTCTCTGCAGGAGGGAGCCAAGGAAACATTCACCCATCTCTGGGAGTAAGGTGACCACAGCCCAGGCCTTCAGTGAGCAGAGAAGGAGCAAGCACATGAAAATTACAGGGCTCATTTTTGGTGATGAGATTGATAAATCTTTAAAATTGTAAAGCCCAGTAATGGAGAGGGCGTTGTTAACAAGTAACTCCATATCACCAGTGGGATGAAAAACGGACACAACCTTCTGTGGTGGTAATCAAAATGTAAAATGTGCATGCCGGGCTGGGGATGTGGCTCAAGCGGTAGTGCGCTCGCCTGGCATGCGTGTGGCTCGGGTTCAATCCTCAGCACCACATACAAACAAAGATGTTGTGTCCACCGATAACTAAAAAAATATATATATATTAAAATTCTCTCTCCCCCCCTCACTCTCTCTTAAAAAAAAAAAAAAGTGCATGCCCCCAGGCTTGATAAATCTACAAGAAATCCTGAAAAACTGACACAGGACAAAAAGGTATAAGGATAAAATGTTGACTGCAGACTATCAACAGCAGCAGAACCCTGAAACCAAAAGCCAAGAGCAAAGAAAGGACTAAAGAACCCACTCAGTGGGTCAGCACACAGCCAGCAATCTGCTGAATGAAGGAATGAATACATGTTATGCACCAGGCCCAGAAAGAAGTAGGGCTCAGTTCAACCGGCAGGATGATGCCTACAGTATGAGGTCATTTCTCTTTTAAAAAAAAAAAAAAAAGTTTACCTACATATCTGTACATCCAAATATACACTGCAAAAGGCCTTAAAGAATACACAACAAATCCTCAAGGGTTATTTTAATAAAAATAAAAAATTAAAAAAAAAAAAAACAAGGACTTGGCAGAACATGTACACCTGGCATGATCCAATTTCACCATATAAGGGTGTGTGCACACACAAACTTTAGAACATGTTGAGAGAAACACATCACTTTCTTTTCCCTTGAATAATATGTTCATTTTGTTGCCACAGGAAAAAGTATGGAAAGTTGTGTAAACTGACAATATGAGTTACCTGGGAAGGCAGGTGACCAAATCCATATGATGGCCTATTTTATCAGTTACATGACAAGGTATTGCTTCACAATTAAAAAAAAAAAAAACATATTTCTTCAAAACCCATCACATAAGCTGGGCATGGTTTTTGCGGAAGAAAACTAGCAAAAATTGTCAATCAAAAATTTTAGAACTCTGGAAATTGACCAGAGATTTGCAACAATCCAGGAAACATTTATTCAAGAAAATCAGCCAAATCTAAGCAAGAACAGAGTGCTTATTAGTACTTGAACTGCCCTATTCCCATCTCTCTATCTCTAGCTCCAAGGGAACCATGGAAACCACCTCCCACAATCACAGTGAACACCCACAGTCTGGCAGCCACAGAGCGAGCAGAACAGGGCAGGTGCATCCCCAAAGCCATGTTCGCAGAGGACCGTCACTTTCTAGCCCATCTCTAGATTCTAGGAAGATTCCATTTGAAAGGACCTGATTCAAAGCTCTCTGGTACAGAAGCCCTTTTTCCTAGGGACATTTGTCAAAAATATTTAGAAGCAATTATATAACTTCACAACTTTCTGAGATGGGACAAACCACAGGCTAACTTAAAGCTAAAAACGAAAAAGAAAAAGTAAGGTGTGGTGATGCACACCTATAATCCAAATGACTCAGGAAGTTGAGGCAAGAGGATCACAAGTTCAAAGATAGGGCCTCACTAAGTTAATGAGGCTAAGCATCTCAGCAAGACCCTGTCTCTAAGTAAAAATAAAAAAGGGCAGTGGATGTGGCTCAGTGGTTAAGCACCCTGGGTTCAATCTCTGGTACCAGAAAAGAAGAAAAACCCAAGAAGGAGATGTACAAAGAAGCTTTGAGAAGCTCCAAATATCCCAGGCAATCTAATGAGTCATGAACAGGCTCAAGAAAGACCTGAAAAGGCCCTGAGCTCTTTCCTGAGCTGATGGCTCTGTGAAGTATAGGCTAAGGCAGAGCTGTCCACTGCCCAGCTGAGTGTTTAGTAGGCTTCAACAACAAAAAGCCCCTTGGCAAAGACTGGAAGACTTACTGGATCTAAGGACTGAAGAAGATATCTATCAATTAACTTCCCAGTAAGCTAAGCAAGCAGAGACTTCAAGGACCAAACATGACAAAGAATACAGACTTCACAAAATAAGCACAGAAAAGTCACTAAACAAAACAATATAAGCAGCAGCAATTAAAAAAAAAAAAAATTCCAGAAAGGGGGGGAGAATCCAATTTCCAAAATGGCCACATTACTTACAATGACTGTTTTCAACAAATAATCACGAAACATGTAATGAATGGTCCATACGTGAAGAAAAAAGCAATTGATAGACTGTCCCTGAGGAAGCCCAGACACTGGGCTTACTAGACAAAGATTTAAATAAACAATTTTAAATACAATTAGAGCTAAAGAAAGCCAGGGACAAAGAACTAAAGAAAACAAGGAAAATAATGTCTTAAATAGAGAATAATCAATAAAGAGCTAAAAATTACAAAAAGGAACCGAATACAACAGAATTTTAAATTCTGTTACTAAAAAGTATAAGTAGCTGAGCAGCATGGTAGTCCATACCTGTAATCCCAGTTATTAGGAAAGTTAAGGCAGGAGGATCATAAGTTTGAGGTCAGCCTTAACAACTCTAAGATCCTATCTCAAATTTAAAAAAATAAAACAAACAGGACTGGGAATGTACCTCAATGGCAGAACAGTGCAAGACTCTGGATTTGATCCCTAGAACCACAAACTTAAAAAAATAAATTTTAAAAGAAAAGGAAATCAATAGGAAGAATAAGACATGAACAACAGTATAAGTCAAACACACCTAAATACAGAACACACTCTATTCAACATTCTACAAGTAAACATGAAACATTCAAGTAAAAGCCTTAAATTAAACCACAAAACAAGCCTTGATAAATTTAAAAAGAGCAAAACCATGCAAACAATGTTCTCCAAACACAGTGCAGTAAAATTAGAAATCAATAACAAACATGAGGAAAGGAGATATTTTTAATCACCAATGGATAAAGTGGAACTCAAAAGGGAAATCAGAAAACGAGATAAACAAAATGAAAACACACCATACCAAAACTTAGAGGATGAAGAGAAAGCAGTGCTTACAGGGAAACCGGGAGTTGTAAACTTCTCTACTAAAAAGAAGAAAGACTCGAAATACTAGCCTAACTTCTTAAGAAACAAAAAAGAACAAGTGAAACACAAGCAGAGGGAAGAAAACAGTAAGATTAAGTGGAGATAAGTGAAACAAAATAGAAGATGAACAAAACCAAGGAAAAGGAACAAAACCAAAAGTTATTTCTATGAAAAATTAAATATGACACAATCCTCTAATTGGACCACAAAAAGAGGAATCAAGTTACCAAAGTCATGACTGAAAAAGGGAATACGACTACCAATGCTGCAGAAACAAAAAGTAATTATAAAGGAATAGTATGATCAACTGTATCCCAACAAATTAGACAAAATGGACAAATTCCTAGCAACACACAATGACCAAAACTGACACAAGAAACAGAACCTCCATAGACAGATAACAAGAGACTGAATCAGTAACAACAACAAAAAAACTCTTTATAAAGAACCCCAGGACCAGATAGCTTCACAAGGGAGTTCTACCAAACATTTAAAGAATCAACACCACTATTCAAACCCTTCAAGAAAAACTGAAGAGTGTAGAGAAGGAAATACTAACTCATTCTTTGAAGTCAATTATGACCAAAGACAGACAGAGCCATCACTAGCATAGAAAACCACACACCAGTATCCCTTATGATTCAAAAATTCAACAAAAACTATAGAACTGAATTCAATAGCATATAAGGTGGGAATTACCCCAGAAATACAAAAGTGGTCCAACTTATGAAAATCAATGTTAACTAACAGCACATTAATAGGAAGAACAAATACACTTCATGATCTCATGATTATCTCAACAGGCACAAAACAAGCATCTCATAAAATTCAATATCTTTTAAGAACTTCCAAAAAAAAAAAAAAGAACATCTATGAAAACGCCAGCAAACTGTACACATTCAATGAAGAAGACTGAAAGCTTTCTTCCTAAGATGAGAAACACGACAAGCAAGTCCACATGTCTACTTCTCAATACTTCTATATAACAATACTACAAGTTCTAGCCTATGCAATTAGGGAAGAAAAAGAAAGGTTATTCAAGGTCGGAAAGAAAGAAGGAATACCATCTCCATGTGGTAATGATCTGATCATATACACAAATGGTTCTAAGAATCTACACACAAAAAAAGAATTTAGAACAAATGAAGTTCAGCTAAGTGACAGGATACAAAACCAGTAAACAACAAACAATTTAATTTCTTACGTCACACCCATTAGGATGGCTACTATTGAGGGGGGGGACAGAAAATAACAAGTGTTGACAAAATTATGGGGAAACTGGAATCCTGATGCACCACTGATGGGAATGTAAAATGGTGCAGCTACAACGGAAAATACTATAGCAGTTCCTCATAATTAAAAGGAGAATCACCATATAATCTAGCAATTCTACTTCTGGTTGTATATACAAACAGAACTGAAAGCAGCCAAACAATGAAAGTGACCCAAGTGCCAATTGATGGACACATGGATAAGCAAAATATGGTACAAATTATTATTATTCAGCCTTTAAAAAGGATGTAATCTGACACATGCTAAAACATGAATGGACTTTGAGAATATTATGTTCAGGACTATATGCCAGTCACAACAAGACAAATACTGTATGATTCCACCTACATGAGGTATCTAGGCTAGTCACATACATAGAGACAGAAAGTAAAGTGGTGTTTACAAAAGGGCTAGGGGAAAGGAAAATGGGAAATTACTGTTTAATGAACACAGGGTTTTAGTGTTGCAATCTGAAAAAAGTTCTGGAAATAAATGGTGGTGATGGTTGTACAACAATATGAATATGTTTAATGCCACTGACATCCACACTTAATGATTAAGATGATAAATTTTATGTTAGAAGTATTTCACCTCACGAATTTTTAAATATATATTTTAAATTGTGAAATCCATCATATTTTTATGCATTAGCAATGAGCAGTCTGAAAATAAAAATTACCCCTGAATTGGCATCCAAAAGAATAAAAAACTTAGGAATAAATATAACAAAAGTAAAAAATTTACACTACAAAACATCAATGAAAGAAATTAAGAACCTACAAAAATGGAAAGACACCCCAAGGTCACAGAGTATTAAGAGTGTTAAGATGGCAATACTTCCCAAACTGATCCACAGATTCAATGGAATAGTTATCAAAATCCCAGAAGGTAGCTGTGCACGGTGGTGCATACCTGTAATCCCAGTGGCTCGGGAGGCTGAGGAAGGAGGATCGCAAGTTCAAAGCCAGCCTCAGCAAAGGCAAGGGACTAAGCAACTCAGTGAGACCCCGTCTCTAAATAAAATACAAATAGGACTGGGGATGTGACTCAGTGGTTAAGTGCCCTGAGTTCAATCCCTGGTATCAAAAAAAAAAAAAAAATCCTAGATGGTTTCCTTCAGAAGTTGACAAGCTAAAGACACCGAAATTTAGGGGCTGGTGTTGTGGCTCAGTGGTAGAGCAGTTGCCTCACATATGTGAGGCACTGGGTTTGAACCTCAGCACCACATAAAAATAAATAAACAAATGTATTGTGTCTATCTACAACTAAAAAATATATATTAAAAAAAAGACACCAAAATTTAAAACTATTCACAAATGATACTATGTACAGAAAATTCAAAATGATCCACAAAAAAGCTATAAGAGCTGATAAAAAACTAAGCAAATTTGCAGAGTTGAAGATCAACATACAAAAGTCATTAGTGGCCATGCATGGTGGCATAAACCTGTAATCCCAGTGACTTGGAAGGCTGAGACAGGAGGATCACAAATTCAAGGCCAGCCTTGACAGTTTAGTGACACACTGTCCCCAAAATAAATAACAAGAAGGGTGTTATAGCTCAGTGGCAGAGCAGTACTAGGTTCAATCCCCAATACCAAGAAAAAAATAAAAAAGCCAGTAGTGGTTGTATACACCAGCAATGAACAGTCTGAAAAAGAAATTAAGGAAGCCCATTCCATTTACAATGACATTTACAATATTCCAAAAGAATAAAATACCCAGAAATTTAGACAAAGTACCAAAAACTACAATGTTGAAAGAAATTAAAGAAGATGAAAGAAAAACAATAAACTTGTGTTCATGATTGTGAGCCAATACTATTAAGACAATAATCCTATCCAAATGATCTTGTTTTATGCAATTTCTGTCAAATTCCAACAGCATTTTTTTTCAGAAATGAAAAACCAATTCTCAAATTTTATTTAACAGTAAGAAGGCCCATGTAGCCAAAACAATCTTGAAAAAGAAGCTAGAAGCACCACACTTCTCAATTTCAAATATATTACAAATCTACAATAAGAAAATAGTATAATACTGGCATAACGACAGACATGCAGACCAATGAAAAACAGAGAAGAGAGCCCAGAAATAAACCTTCACCTATATGGCCAAAAGGTCTTCAAAAAGGGTGGCAGGACAATTATTTGGATGAATGGACAGTCTTTTGACAGGTGTTGGGAAAATCAGCTATCTATAGTAAAAGTCTTAAGTTGAACACTTAACCTTAAACCACTCAAAAAATACCAAAGACCAGACTGGGGTTGTGGCTCAATGATAGAGCACTTGCCTAGTACATGTGAGGCACTGGGTTTGTTCCCCAGCGCCACATAAAAGAAATTAAATAAACAAAATAAATGTATGGTGTCCATACACATATAAAAAATGTTAATTGAGAAATATATATGTATATTTATTCTCAACAACAGCTGAGAAGGGTGAGGCAAGAGGATCATAAGTTTGAGATCAGCCTCAGCACTTTAGCAAGGCCCTAAGCAACTTAGTGAGACCCCGTCTCAAAAAAAATAAAAAGGGATGTGGCTCAGTAGTTAAGCACCCCTGGGTTCAATCCCCTGTACTGAAGACAGCAAGAGAGAGAACGTACGTGTGTGTGTGTGTGTGTGTGTGTGTGTGTGTGTGTGAGAGAGAGAGAGAGAGAGAGAGGGAGATCAAAGATTTCATCGTAAGACCCAAGACTGTTAGAAGACGACGATACAGGAGAAAAGCTTCATAACACTGAATTTGGCAATGATTTCTTGGATATGACATCAAACACACAGGTAATGAAAGAAACAACACACTGGACTTCATCAAAATTAAAAACTTCTGTGCGTCAGAAAACATTAATCACAGGGAAAAAAGGCAAGTAACAGAAAATTAGAGAAAATATCTGCAAATCAGATCTCATGAGGTATTAATATCTAGAATACATTAAAAAAACAACAAAAAAACTATTTCAGAAATAGGCCAAGAAATTGAATAGACATTTCTCCAAAGAAGATATAAAATGGCTAATAAGCACATGAAAAGATGGTCAACACCACTAATATTAAGGAAATGCAAACGGATACCAACTCATGCCTACTAGGATAGATATAACCACAGAAACAAACAATAACAAGTACTGGCAAGGAGAAATCAAAACCCTTGCACATTACTGGTAGGAATACAAAAGGTCCAGCTGCTATGAAAAATAGTTTAGTGTTTCCTCAAAATGTTAAGCACAGGATTACCTTAACACTCAAAAATTCCATTCATAGGAATCTACCAGGAGAATTAAAAAACAGGGTCTCAAAGAGGTACATGTACTCAAATGTTCATAGCAGCACTATTCATAATAGTCAAAGGTGAAAAATGATCCACATGTTGGAATTCTATTTAGTAGATAGATGAATAAACTAAACATGGTACATTCACAATGGAATACCATATGGAATATTGTTATAAGGAAGCCAGAAAAGGAAAGTAGTACTGACATGCTTCAACATGGATCAACTTCAAAAAATTAATGCAACATGAAAAAAAATCTAATCACCGAAGGCATATTACTATTATTAGTCCATTGTGAAATTCCAGAATAGAGAAATCCACAGAGACAGAGCAGACTGGTGGTTGGTGGAAGCTTGCAAGAGTGGGGGATGGAAAGTGACTGCTAACAGACAGGGTTTCTTCTTGAGATGATGAAAATGTTCTGGAGTTAGAAGTGTCCATTGCACAACCTTGTGAAAGAGTAAAACCCACTAAATTAAATAATTAAGAGGAATATTAATGGTTGTGAACTATATCTTAAGAAACTTGAACTTGTGAAATGAAAAATCAATAGGAGCTGGGGTTGCAGCTCAGCGGTAGAACGCTCGCCTAGCAGGTGCGAGGCCCTGGGTTCAATCCTCAGCACCTCATAAAAATAATAAAATAAAGGCATTGTGTCCAATTACAACTAAAAAATAAATATTAAAAAGAAAAGTCAACAGGAAATATTCACATTTTCCTTAACTCTTCTGAAACCTCAGGGTGGCCTCCTCGGGAGCTCAGACACCCTGCATGCAGCCCTCCTGCAACCTGGTAATCAGTTCTTCTCACCTTGAGGTGCTGGTGCATGCAGTAGCGACACACCTTGTGCTTCATCTCATGGGTAACATAGCTGGAGAAAGGAATAAACCCACATTTTGGCTGTAAAATAAGCAAATAAGGAAGAAAATAATATTTAGGGAGAATTCACACAGCTCTAAACATACAAGTCACTAAGATGATCAAGAGCAATGGGGGTCAGGTGGAAACGGCCCCAGAAGCCGTTTTCACTTTCAGCTTCCAGAGGGATCAACACTTCCCTGTCACATCATACAAATTTCTCTTGGCCTCCAGAGGACCCAAGGCTAGCATTCCCACAGGGAACATTGGCTCTGTACTGGCTGAACAAGAGCACAACACAGAGCAGCTTTATGCTTTCTTTATGGAATGCAGATGAGAAGGCGTAGAGATGGACCCAAACTCCCAGCTCCAAGGAGCATAACCATTGTTCCTGCTGACACCAGTCCGTGGCCTAAAGGCGTCCAACTGATAGTTGGTAGCTTCCAGAACATCAGGGAATCCAGCTGCCTTCTAAAAACTGTGTCCTCTGAGCACAAGCAACACAGAAGGCCTGTGCTCAGAGTTGGGTGCTAGAGAATTTGGCTGAGGATCAAGTGCTCAGGCCAAGGGCATGACCCAGAGATCACTGCCTCAGAAGTAGGAAGGATGGAGAGAGGTAATAGACAAATGTTATAAAAAAAACTTCCTGGGAGGCTTAGGCAGCCACTCTCAACATGGACGGTAAAGCAAGGGGGCCCTGGCCCTTCTCCAGTATCTACTGCCCTCCCCCCACTAAAAGTTCAGGATTCCTAATCATGACACACCAGCCACTGTGCCTGTGAGAAAGTCCTTCCTGTGCAGGTGAAGTGATGAAAATGTTCTGGAGTTAGACAGTGTCCAGTCTAAAGGGCATCCCTGGAAATGATGTGTGTAGGATGACCTGACCTGCTTTCCCCTGGTGAACCTCGACGTGGGCTTGCCCCAGTCCAGGGCATTGTCAACACCCAGGAAGGAGCCTAAACCTGGGCTCTGGGAGCTGCAGGAGGGATCCATGACTGGCATTCTCACTGGGGGAGATGTGGAATGTAGTAAGTGGCTCTGGAAGGACAGAGAAGCAGACCAAGTTCCTGCTGAGGGGCCATACACGTACTTGAGGCAGACACCCCATGGCCTTCACAGTCTGAGACCAATATTCCCCTTGCCCAATCAGTCTTCTCCCTGAGTTCACCTTGATCTCTACACACAGAATTGGTCGGTGCTCTGCAAAGCGGTAGGTTTGAAGTCTGGTTAAGTTGGGAAGGCACATAGCGTAACCACTGAGAGTGTCCAGGTCCTTGTCACAACGAGACTCTGGAAGACAGCAAGAGTGACATCTGAAGGTCAGCAGGAGAGACAGTTAACCTCAAGGCACTGAAAAGAATCCTATAGGGGAGGGTCAACCTCACCCAAAACAAGCCCACCATCATGCTGGCTCCAAAGTCACTTAGAGCCCAGCAAGAAGCTCAACTTTACCTGGGTGCTCTGGGATGCATGACAGTAACAAAGTGGTTCATGGCAGGCCTTGGGCCACATGTTTTCAGGTCTGGAGGGGCTCATGCCTCTGAACCTCAGTAAGGGCCTTGGACACTGAGGCTGTGAGCTTTCCCAGTGGCATCACATGGGGCACTAACACATCCTCACGAAGAGAATAGGTGCTGCCCATGTGCCCTGTGGAACTTTCTCCAACCTGTCTCTGTACTCTTACCTTGGTTGATTTTGTCTTTATCCTTTCACTGTAATAAACCATAACCATGAATGTAACAGTGAGACCTGGGGTCCTTCTAGCCAATTATCAACCCTAAGAATGGCCTTGAAGGACCCTAAAGGTGCAACTGTTAGAAGCAAGGTTCGCCTTGGGAGTGGCCCCCTAATTCCATGGCTCCCTAAGTCCAGGAACTCAGAGAGGAAGGAGTCTGCAGCCCCTCTTCCTCTCAAGCCTTGGCCCTTCCCAACACATGGTGCTCCCATTCTGCCTCACAGGATTCTGCTGGAAGCTGGTGTGGATAGAGCCAAAGAGCACTGGGCTCCAGGCCCCTGGGGTAGGCGTCCTTTCTTTCATATAGCAAGCCTCATTCCAAGTGGTTGCTATGAGGGACAGCAGTTCTTACCATTGTGCAATAAAGCTTCAACTATGATTATAACATGAAGTAGGAATGCTGAGCAGCACAAGCAGCTGGAGGCAAAACCCTGGAGCCAGCCTCTATCCACCTTGGTGGAGATGAAGACTGGGAACCCAGACACTGTCCTGTGCCAACAACCACCTCAGGCTCCCCTACAGCACAAAGCCTGCTCCTCCCTGCCACAGCCAGACCCCAGGCCCAGAGCACTACTGGCTTCCATTTTCCAAATCAAATCAGGAAGGAATTCTATGGTGGCCAATTCCGTCCTCTCACTGGTTGGCTGTGCTCTAGGAAGAGATATTTCCATGCTTTGCACATGAACTTTATGTCTTTGACAGTGACTATGGGGGAAAAAAGCTTTAATTGGGTCTTGCCCATAAGGCCACCAGCAAGTGCAAGAAAGATAGGCATGAGGCCAGGGTAAGAATGTGTGGAGATGATGAAGTTTCTGGAAAAAGAACTGCTGCCAGGGGATCATGTCAAACACTTCTGAAGTGATATTTTTTAAATCACAAACAATATTCCTAAACTAGGACATCCTTACCTGGTCTTTCAGACTGTATCTTTAAACACAGTTGTTTCACAAACTCTAAAGGCAGCTGAACAACTTCCTGTAAGAATAGACAAAACAGAGCGATTGCACAATGACAAGATAGCTGATGCCACAGAATAGCAGTGCATCTAAACAGGGTTAACATACACACAATGTGAAATGAACCATTCTATCACAATAAAAAAAAAAATTTACAGCTTAAACTCATTATAGGTCTTGGTGATAAGCTGGTCTATTTCCAGAACCAATCCAGGTTAAACAGAGATGCCGACGTTTCAGTGTACTAATGGTGGCTGGCTCTCAGAGTGGCCAGTGGCCATTCACACCACCAGTCTCCCACCACAGAGCCCACTCCTGCAGTCCCCAATCCTCACAGCATCTGCAGACACAGAACAGAGCCTGCAGCAGTTCTCAGGCCACAAGGAAGACCCTTGCAGAGCCCTCACACAACCTGAGCATTTCATGCTTCCACCTAAGCAGCAGTGCCAGTCTGATGATCAGTGTCAGGGGAGACGCCTGCACACCAGGGGACTCGCAGCCACAGGGGACCCACGGAGCTGCTGCCCAACACTTCTCTCCACTCAGCTGCTTCTCTGCTGAGTGAAACTGGATCCCAGGTGAAAGGGATTCAGCTGAGGCCTCACTGCTCACCATCTTTCCTTTCCTTTTGTGTTTTCAGGGTGGCTGAATTGTCCCAAAGGGACGCAGGAGACCTGCCTATAATAAAAATGCTGGGATCCTGCCCATGAGGAGACCAGCTTCTCCATTCAGGCCTAGCATGCCCTGGCCCAAACATCAGTTCCCCAGCCTGCTGGGCCAGTTTCACCTGTGATTTCATTACCTACACTTGATATAAGCTGACAACAGGTGAGGTACTAAAATGCCAAGTACTGAATCAGGTAAGGTAAAACAGTGGGAAACACAAAAGTGTGGAAACTCAAAACCTGGGTTATCTCACTGAAGTCCAAGTTCTTATTCTGCTTTAAAGAAATCATAATTACAAAGGCACAGGTGCCTGTCTCTAAGCTGTGTAACAATGATGATAACAACTGCATGATGATCCTCCATCCTGGAAGCACCTTAGTCCCACACCACCAAGCACACCAGGGGAGACACAGCAAGCACCCAGGTCTGGGGCCAGACACACAGAGACCTTCCAGGCCACCCTCTGCCTCCCGCCCAAATGAATCCACAGCCACCCAGTGAAGAGCTGACCTGGGTTCCTTCTATACAACATTAAATTATTGATTTTATGATGTGGATGTCTATGTTTTAAGTCAAGATAAAATGTCTATAGTAGGCAGCCCCTTTGAAGTCACATAGCATTGCCATCCAACCAACCACATGAGCCCAGTGACAAGCAGTCCCTGTGTGTGGCACTAGCCTGCAAAGAGCCAAAGTTAACATCCACAGAATGCCCCTCTTGGAGACATGCCACTGACACGGAGTGAGGACCTCCAGATGTGGTACCATCCTTGAAGGGACAAAGGGATACTGCTCAGAAGGACATATCCCAATCTGGCCAACACATCGGCATGCCGAGGATCAAAACAGGGAGTCAAGGCCACCCCAGTAGCATCCAACCTCATGTAGATCTGGTCAGAAGAGAGGTGGAGAGGCTGAGGCTGTAGCTCAGTGGCACAGCACTTGCCTAGAACATATTAGGCACAGGGTTCAATCCTTAGTACCACATAAAAATATTAAAAAGCATTCTGTCCATCTACAACTACAAAAGATAAAAAAAGAACAGAGGCAGAACTTGTAGAATTGCAGACCTCTACAGTACTTAAGAGCAGTGGCTGGAGGACTGAGGTCCCTAAAGATGCCTAGACTCACATCATGCTCCCTCAGCAGGCCTGGGGTCAGGGTGTGGCGGTCACTGTCTCCCACAGCCTCGGCACAGGGGCTGTTATGTCTTGTCTCAGGGCAAACAAGATGCAAATGTCCTCTCAAGGGCTTCACTCACCTAACTTGCTGACACATCCACCCTTGCTACTGGGGCCAGTGTGGCCCTGCAGCCCTAATGATGCTGTCACCTGGGGAACACATGTCTGCCTGGAGAAGCTGATCAGGCCCACACTGCAAGCATCCTGCCAGCACCTGCTCACCTGAAGAAAAGCAAGCTGACTCTGGCAGGTGTCTTAATGTGGAGGTGATACATAGCAGTTGACCTTGTGGGCTGAGCTGCTATCACTGCAAATTACTCTACTACAGCCTTGCACATCAAAGACAAACAGAACCAAACCCAGAGCCACTGTTGCAGACAACTCTGACCCTGTCCCCTACCTCAAAGGAGTCCCTGCCACCACCCCACAGGTCACCATCCCTTGCACTCCCACATCCAATTATCCCAGCCAGTAAACACCATCGCTGCCCATGTCCTCCACCCTCCCAGAAAGAGACCTGAAACCCACAGGACCAGAAACACTCCCACTCAGCACAGGAGCCAGAGTATAGGCAGCAGCACTTCCAGCACTTCTGCAAACATTCTCTCCTCAAGGAGAATGTTGGCACAGACACCATCCAAGGGGCACAGTGTGGAAGAACCTCACGACTCTTCCTAAAGCACCACCCATGACCTCCAGATGTCCAACAAGACCACAGTGTGCGAAACAGGCCACAGAAGGCAAGCCTCCTGGCAACAGCTAAGGCAGAACTGAGGACGCTTTCATGGGCCCAGGCCTGAGGCTCTGCTCAGAGGACAGTACAGGTCAGACAGATGGGTCAGGGTGTGTCCTGTCCCCACTGACCTTAGGTAAGCAGCAGGCGGCTCCTGCACACACAGCAGTGCTAAGGGTTCTCACAGCTGTTTCTCTAGACCCAGGTTTTAAAATTAAACTGGGCAACTGGAGCCCTTGGTGGGTGTGGAGAGCAGGGACTTGCCTCCAACCTCACACCCATGTGCTCTCCACAAGGACAGGCAGCCCCAGCCAGGGACAGGGAAGGGGCTCCCTTTGCTTCTTAACCTACTGGAAGTTGTCCCTTTGAGCTTAAGGACAGGCCGACACTCATTCAAAAGCCCTCACCAAGCAGGAGGGCCAGGGGAGGTAGAAGGCTTCTCTCTGAACCTCATGGTCCTCAGCATCTGCTGAACTGCCTCACAGCACAGGAAGGAAAAGCGCCTGGAGACTCTGACTATATGGGGTTTTCAAAAGCACCAAGTTCCAAAGGAAAATCAAGATGCTATTATTGTTCACACAGAACCCACCTATGGATTAAGACATGAACAAAAGTCACTTACCCCACAGTGAACATAGTTCTCCCCCAAAAATTCTTTCATGACGTTTTTGCCAAAGTCCACTATGTTCTGTAGGTGCTGAAATATCTCTTCTGAGGTCTGTAAGAGACAAGTTTAAGATGGACCTCTGGGCAGAACCCACCAAAGTTGGGGGGACACCAAAATCCCCAAGACCCTGTCACAATGGCTGCATCTAGGCCACAGTCTTTAGCCACCTGTTGTGCTGCAAAACGTGGAGAAAACGCCGACTAGAATGTGCTGCCTCAGGTGGTTTTGGGCAGTGCAGTCAATGGACAGGGGACAGACAGAACAGAGGATGGAGCCACCTCTGGAACACATCTACTGAAACAGAATCCTTTGGGTCATTTCTCTTCAGCAGCTGAGGCAAGGAGCCCGGGACGCTGGGGCCCCTTTGGGCACCCCGGCTGCTCATTCCACTCCACTCTCACTGCAGCCCCACCTGCCAATGACACTCCAGTTCCTTCCTCCCCTGTGAAACCAACCCTGTGAGGCACCTGTGTGTGCTGCCACCTCCACCCACCAATGGGCCCCAGCTTTCTATGACCTCTGCCCACAGACACTCAACCCACTGCCCTAGTGAGATGGTGACACATCAATCCTACACATTCGACATGGCTAGCGCCACCTCAAAAGCACTCCACCTGCCACACTGTGGGGTACCCACCCTCACAGAAGGATCAGACCCACCCAGGGGGCCTCATGGGTAGAGCAAGCCAGATGAGTGTCTCAGCCTCTCCCTCAGAGGATGTGCTAGAAGCAGAGAAAGGGCCATAGACACAGGAGCCTCCACTGTGTAGTAAGCACCTGTGAACACCTGAGACTCACATATACCGGGAGTTAGACAGCTGATCGGGGCGGCAGAAGTTTTCTGGGGGTCTATGACACTGTATTGGGAAGACTCGGTCAAAAGAAGCTTAATTATCCACCAGACCTTGCCCAGAGCCACTTCAACACAGACTGCCCACCAAGTGTCAGTACTGTGCTCACAGATACAATTAACCACAGATGGGTAAACTGGGGCAAGGGTACCAAGGGACTGGGCAATGCAAAGCTGAGACCTGGTCCTAGGTTCCTCACCACAAACAGGGCCCTCAGGCAGGACACAGAGGCCAGGCCAGGGCAGGTCCTGCTCAGCAATACACAGACCCTGTCATGGTGACACATGGTGAAACATGGGTCAAAGTGCTGGGGCCTGGCAGTTCTCATATCAGGAATGAGCGCCCACCTCTTTCCACATTCCACTGGATGCTTCTGCTGTGTTTAAAATTTCTGCAAATAGTATTAATGTTTCCGCAGCAAGGAAAAATCCAAGTCTTTTTTTTTTTTTTGTATCAGGGATTGAACCCAGGGGCACTTATCCTCCTGCCTCAGCCTCCGAAGTGCTGGGATTACAGGCATGGACCACTGCACCTGGCCCCCAATTCTTCTTAAATAACAGTTGGAATGACAGGGTGGCCCACCCACCAATCTTACCTTCTTCCTATTTGGAGGAAACTTCAGGAAACGCAGCACTACACAACGCTGTTGGAAAATAAAACAGTCTGATTAGTACTCGCCTGACACCCAGGCACAGGAGTCAGCAGCTGAGAAGAAGGGGCCAGAAAGCAAGGAGGTCCCGGGACTGAGGCTGCCAGGAAGGACCCAGAGAAGGGACACTAGAGTGAAGCCACTTCCAGGGCATGTGGGTAGCAGGGAAGCCAGGAAAAACTACCTTTGACCAAGCCTGTCCATTCCTACTTATTTACCTTATGGAAATAACTAAAGGAGTTCAAGTGATTTTTAGCTACTTTGTATAAAAGCAGTTTATAATTCCAAGTATAAACAATCTAATTGCTCACCAATAGTGGGGACACACCACAAACCATGGAATACCATGCAGTCATTTACAAGAAAATAAGGTGTCAGTATTTAAAGACAGACATGCAGTCATCATATACTGCTACATACAAAGCATCAGTCCACTTTCATAAAAATTCTCTCTATATATATACACATATACACCTATCTACAAATAATCCTACCTATATGAATTTAAAAAAACAGGCAAGATCAACCCCTGGTGTCCACTCCTCAGGTAGGTGGAAATGCCCCCAAGGAAGGTTCCAGAAGGGAATGGTAATGAGATTTTGTTACTTTATGACAATTAAATGAAATTCATAACCTCAGCACTTTTCTTACAGGTATGTTACACTCCAATGTTAGATTTTCAAAATAAAAACTTTGAAGTAACAAATACATATGATCTGTTGGTATGAAAAGGTCTGAAAAGATGTTCAACACAAGTTTAACAGTATCAGGTCATGACCACAATTTTTTTTTTTTTTATGTTTACTGGAATATTCCAAAATGTTTTAATGTTCATAGTACACAGAATAAGAACACATATTCTACATGGGAAAGAGTGTGCCTGGGGCAGGCTTCACCTGCACAGAGGAGTGGGAGGTGGTGACTGGCAGGAGTCCTGGGTAGCATCCATGAACCTGGCAGGGGCAAGAGTAGGCAGGGCACATTGGAGAAGGCTTAGAGAGCACAGATTTCTAGAAGATGCCTAAGGAGCAATAAGGCCCAACAGAAAGGAAATCAGCCCTCAGTCCTGGGGAATGCCCACTCAGAAACACTGTTCCTCCTAAAACCCATCTGTCCTGGTTGGGACCTCTTGGTCCACGAGTTCCTCCTCTTCCTTTTATACCTATATCTACACCTATATCTATATCTATATATACATAGATATAGATATATGGATACACACACACACACAAACATATATGCAACTTTTTAAATTTATTTATATTTATATATTTTTTAAGCAACAGGATCTTACTATGTTGCCAAGGCTGGCCTTGAACTCCTGAATTCAAATCCAACTTCAGCCTCCTGAGCAGCTAAGACAATGTGCAGACTACAGGCATAGGTGCTGGCTTCTACAGCACCACCACTCCCCCACTTTTCTTCTTTTTCGGGCAGACTGGGGATTGAATCCAGGGATGCTCCCTCTGAGCTACATCCCCAGTCCCCCCACACCTTTTTTTTTTTTTTTTTTTTTTGGAGACAGGGTCTCTTGCTAAGTTGCTGCCCTCAAACTTGCAATCCTCCTGCCTCAGTCTCCTACATAGCCGAAATTACAGGCATGTGCCACCACACCCAGCTTCCCCAGCACCCCTTAGTGAGCTCTCCTTCCCAGTTGGTACCATCTACCAGGCTTGTTGTGAATCTACTGAATAAATGTGCCCTCCTTCCACACCAACTGCAATAGGAGGGCTGAGGTCTATGGCATACATGCTTAAACTGTCAAGGCAGGCATCAACAATCAGTCCTGGAAATCAACTGGCTAACACACTTTCATAGAAAGTGTATCAGAAGTTGATACACAGAAATCTAAACTCTTGACAACTTTTCAGAAACTCACTCTCCTTAACAGTTATTCACTCCTCATCTAGACACAATAGGCTGTTCTGTTCAAGGGCCTGTCTGATCAATCCCTCCCACAATTAGACACCAAATACAATAAGAATGCTGCCACTAACAGTAAGTATTTCACACTACAAACATGTGTTAATGAGTAAAGTGAGTTAAGTTTCCCAGGGTAAGCCTGATCATGCTGGAAAATGTAATAAGAAAACATACTCATGCCCTGATCAACAGATTAACCCACACTGCCCTGGCCCATCCACAATGCAAGCTCTCCTCTGTGCTTCCAACAGGGCCATCCCTGCCACCCACAGAGTTCTGCATTATCTAGAGGAAAACAGAGTCTCTCTCAACTTTCCAGGGGCCTAATGAGCTAAAAACCAGATTTTTATAGCCAAGCAGTCTTAAGAAAAGCAATGCAAGGCAAGTCATGTGAGCTTTTTCTTCACAGAACTCTCCACTACAGCCTCAGAGAAAGGAGTTCAAAGCCCCATGAAATTCCAACTGTGAGGAACACAAGAACCCTCTCACCTGGAGGCATCTGGCCATCTTTTATCTTTATCTTTTTTGTACTGGGGATTAAACTCAAGGGTGCTTTACCACTGAGTCACATCCCCAACCCTTTTCATTTTTTGAGACAGGGCCTCACTAAGTTGATGAGGCTGGCCTCAAACTTGTCATCCTCCTGCCTCAACTTCATAGTCACTGTGATTACACCCATGCCTCATCATACCTGGCAACACTTGCCTATTAATACAGATTCAGATTTCCAAAGTTTCTGATCAATATGTTCCTGGTAAAGGCAGGAAAAGCTAGTCTTTTCTGTTTATTTACAAATGGAAATTATAAACTTCCTTTGCATTAATACATACACATAAAGTGGCCCAGCTTCAGCCTGGAGGGAAGCCCAGAGATCAAGGCTGGATCCCCAAGATCAAGGTCATGCAGGGTGAAACAGGGCTTGGATGGCGGCCCGAACCCCAAAGGAACCCTACATGTCCTTCCAACTGTCAGGATCCCTGTGGCTGCTGAGTTGCCAGTTTGGGGGTGGGGCGTGTGCACTGGCTGGAGAGCTAGCCCCTGGCAGAGGATGTGGCACAGGCCTTCCCAGCCCTGTGCAGCAAAGAGGCCTGCCAGCACCCCTTCTGGAGCCACCCCAGTGTGTCCTCGGCCACCCCATCCATGCACCATGGCTCCGCCTCCCTGTTAGAGGTCATTCCCTTCCTCTCAAAGAGGCAGAACCGACACCAACAAAGTCTGAATGTAGTGATGTGTCCATTTCAAGGTTACTAAGCTCTCTCCACCTACCCACTTATCATCCAAAAATGTCACCAGAAACCTGACCAACATCCCCAAGGAAACTGCAGAATCAGCTTAAAATGCCAATCTTGATCAATACCAACACTCAAACACACTCAGCTAGCCTATCCCGCACAGCCAGTGCCAACTGACCCTCACAAGAGGCCTGAGCAGGGGATACCAGCTGGAGGTGGGAGATCCCCTGGCTATGCCAGGTAGAGGCCATTAGGCAGGTGGTGACAGAGCCTGGTGACGCTCATGCAGGCTGATGGCAGAAATTAGGTGGGAAAAAAAAAAAAAAAAAAAATCAACCCGTTATCAGTTCTCATTAACAGAATGATACCAAGAGGCACCCTCACCTGGAGGAATCCAGAACTGAAAATTGACAGATTTCTAACTACCAAAAAAAGGCATAAAACTGGGTAAAGACTGGAAGGAAGTGCACCAAAGTATAATAAAAGCTAGTATCTAGGTGGGAAATGTGGAGTGATTTTTACTTTCTTCCTTCTAATACTATATATTTTCCGAAGAGGGAAGAAATAATGATTAGTAATAAATAAAAATGAAAGGCCACAGAGAGCTCACTCTCCCTCCTCTTCATGGTTACCATAAGGTGAAAACAAATTTCCTCCAACATGTCTTACTGCCATGATGATCAGCTTCACCTCAGGCCAAAAGCAGTGAATTCAGCCAACCATGGACTGAACCTTTGAAACCAGACTCTGTTGTCTATCCCAAAGAATGGAAATCAGGATCTGGAAGAGATATTTGTACTCTCATGTTCATTATAACACTAGTCATAGTGATGAAGACGTGTAAACAAGCTAAACATCCATGGAGGATGAGTGGATAAAAGAAAATGCATACAACAAATATGCACATCATAAAATATTATTCACCCTAAAAAAAAATAGAGAACTTCTGCAGTGTGATACAACATGGATGAAACTTGAGGATACTGTGCTAAGACAAACAGAAGGACAAACACTCCATGATTACTCAGCTATGAAGATCTCTAATATAGTCAAATTCATGGATCTGTAGAGTAGAATCACTTGTGGTTACTAGAGAGAGAGAAGTGAGGGGAAAACGTGGCATTACTAATAAATGGACATAAAGTTTTAGTCAAGCAAGATAAATTCTAGAGATCTGCTATATAAAGCATACCTATTAATGACATTATATTCTACTCTTAAACATTAAATAGAAAAGTAGATATCATGTTGTTTTCTTACCACAATAAATCATTTTTAAAAAGCCTACAGTGAACCAATACAATAAAATGAACACCTGCCAGTGTGAAGACAGAGAATATTTGCCAGTCAGCCTTCTTCACTATGACAAAGTTCCTCAGGAAATCAACTTAAAAAGAGGAAAAGATTTATTTTGACTCATAGTTTCAGAGGTTTTAGTCTGTGGTAATTTAGTTCAAGGGCATTCAGGTCTGAAAAGGTAGCACACTGTGGAGGCAGCACATGGTAGAATAAAGCTGTTCACTTCATAGCAGTCAGAAAACAGAAAACTACAGAAAGAGATGGAGGGCCCAATATCCCCTGCATAGGGGATATTGTCCCCAACAATCTAGCTTCCTTCTATTAGACTAGAGTAGTAGAAGGTTCTAAAGGTTCTACCACCTTGTAATACCACCACAGGCTGGAGTCCAGGCCTTCAACACATAGGTCTTTGGGGAACATTTAAGATCTAGACCATAACAAGGTTTATGGTCCCCTGTTATGGAGAGACCTTCCATAAAGATGAACAGGAAAAGGCTGTCTCATCACCTACAAGGCACTCTTAAGGTGTGGGATGGGAGT